GGGCTCCAGAACTATGACCACCCTGCACCCCATATCCTCCCACAGCCAGATATGCCCAAGGATCTCGGATGACGGCATTTGCATCCCTTCCCCAGCTGGACGTTCTGCAACAAGGTGCCACCATGGAAGGGCCCAATTGTTCCCTCTGTGATTGTCTTTCTCAAAATCTTCCTTATTTGACACCATATACAACAATTAACTCAAAATACATATCAACAGAAGCGCTAAAATTTTAAAACTCCTAGAAAACCTAGGAGAAAAGCTTCATGACATTAGATATGTCAATGATTTCCTGGATATAACACCAAAGGCCAAGAAACAAAAGAAAAAATAAGTAAGTTAGGCTTCATCAAAAATAAAAACATTTCTGCATCAAAGGACATTATCAACAGAGTTAAAGGTAACCTAAAAAAATCAGAGAAATTGTTCACAAATCATATCTCTGAGATGGTTTAACATTCTCAATATGTAAAGAAGTCCATAAAAACACCCCAATTCAAAAGGGGCAAGGCAATTTGTCAGAACTCAGTATTTCTGTCCCCTAAAAATGATGGCTAGAAGGCTAAGCCCCATAATACAGGATCTCATTTACACAAAGGACTTAAAGTAACCAGATCCATAGGGACAGAAGGCAACAGAGTGGATGCTCCAACAGTGCAGGTGATGGGGGACTCACCCCAAGTCCAGGTGACTGGGGAGGACTCACTCCGGGTGCAGGTGACCGGAGGGCACTCACCCCAAGTCCAGGTGACTGGGGAGGACTCACTCCGGGCGCAGGTGACTGAGGAGGACCCACCCCAGGTGTAGGTGACTGAGAAGGACTCACACCAGGCACAGGTGACTGAAGAGACATTCACCCCAGGTGCCCTGTGCTTTTCTCACAGGCAGCGTTACTCTAGGTCCAAGGTCATCAGAGTGACCTGACCTTGAGCCCACTGTCCCTGGAAGGATGCATCCATGCCCAGAGTGCTCTCTGCCCCTACAAGCCATGAGTGTGTGTACAGCCTCTCAATACTTGGGAGCCTCCCTCAGGGTTTGGCAGCTGGGCTCTGTAGGGGACGATCCCCAAGCAGGCGGAGCTTCCAGAGGTGGCCTGGGACCCTCCAGAGCCACTGCAGCCCAGGCCAGGGAAACCTCCGGGATGCCCCTCACATTTCTAAGTCACCGTGAGACTCTAGACAGCAACGCATCCCCTGCAGGATGTGGGGTCCGGGTGCCGGGACTACCTTCTGTCCTCAGGGGGCCACACTGTGTGATGGGCTCTGTCCTCTCTTCCTCCCCTTGAGCCCCCGGCTCTGCTGAGACTCCCCAACCCTGAACCTTAGAGGGGAGTGGTCCTGCCACCCCAGGGACCCTGACACCCCCATCCGGGGCCCTCCCCGGAGATGGGGCACTGCGTGGTGGAGGGGCTGAGGCTATGCTGCTCTCAGTCTCCTTGAAACAGGGAAAACCAACACTCAGGTTTAAGACAAGAGGCCCCTGGTCTTGGGGAGAAAATTCTCTTTCATTTTTCCAGATAGCTCCATTTATTACCTACTGATAATTTATCTGAATTTCTAGTAGCTCAAAACTTTTTCATTTTCCTGCTTATTAAGAAACTCAATTCCCGACCACAGCAGCTCAAAGCTAACAGACCGAGAGCATATTTTCTCTATAATTCACCACCAGGCCCAAGGGAGTGGGAGGTGCCCACCCAGGGAGGGCCAGCAGCCCTTCACTCTCCTCCTCACTGGGGACGGGGGTTGGGGGACATCTGGGGACTCCCCTCCCCCAGCTCCTCCACCTCCAAGTGAGCTGCCAACCCAGAGCCGTCCAAGGACCTGGGCCACTCCAACCTGCCTCCAAGGCTCCCAGTAAGGTCTGTGCAAGCTCCTGGCAGCGTCTGCAGGGTTCATGGATGTGTCTCCACCCATCGGCCCTGAGTCTTTTCCATGAGCTGAGCTGCTCACACCTCTAATCCTCATCAGTGCTCTGCCAGCCGGGCACCGTCACCACCATCCCCACCTTACAGCTAATGCCAGTGGAGCCCAGAGAGGTTTGGCGTCTTGCCCAAGGCCACACAGCTCTGCCAGCCGGGCACTGTCACCACCATCCCCACCTTACAGCTCACACCAGTGGATCCCAGAGAGGTTTGGCTTCTTGCCCAAGGCCACACAGCTTTTTGGCAAACATTGTGGCTCCAGGGCCACTCTCTGGGTGCGCAGCCAAGAGGCCGGCTCAGATGGGGTGACCGAGGGATGGCAGCCTCTGCCGAGAACCAACCCAAGGATCTGGCTCAGGGCGCGGGTGTCAGAACAGCGCCCGGGGCCACCACGGAGACCCAGGAGGAGCCAACGGGGCTCTGTCGACCACCAGGAGTCGTGACAGGGGCTGAAGAACAGTCATTGAGAGCAAAGGTGACCTGGGTGGCACCAGTGTCTGGCATGGGCAACATAGACGGTGTAGCTTCCTGGGTGGCTGGGGACACCAAAATTCTACCCAGGGACGGAGAGAGAATCCCGCCCGGGGACAGAGAGAGAATCCCACTCAGAGACACAAAATCCCCCCGGCGACAGAGAGAGAATCCCGCCTGGGAACACAGAATCCCACTCGTGGACACAGAATCCCACTCGTGGACAGAGAATCCCGCCCGGGGACAGAGAGAGAATCTCACCCAGGAACGCACTGACTTTGAGCCACCCAGGGCTCAGCCCAGGCTCGCGAAGAACACGAGGCATCAGGGGTTTAATAAATTGAAAATAAAACTCTAAGCTCCAGCCCCCCCGGGTAAAGTTTTCCTTGGAATTAATTTCTAAGATAAATTGTTTTGAAATTGTTTGGTCCATCTCTTCTAAGCCCCCAATGTTTTTCTGATTAGACATTTTCATCTAAACAGGCCTGACGTCTGAATGGCACCTCAATCCCGACAGTATTGACATCTGCCAGCTCAGAGGTTTATGGGGAAAGTATGGATTCCTGGCCGGTGGCTTTACTCAAATTGAGCTGCATTCTCGGCGAAATGAGATGCGGGCACAGCTGCCGGCTCACCTCCACGGCTTCTGTCCGCCGCGGGGCTGGGGTGCTGCAGGGGTGAGGGGTGCAGGGTGGGGCTGGACCTTCCGGAGGGAGCCTGGGGAGGGGAGGGTCCAGGACGAGGGAAGGGGAGGTCCCGTAGCCCGGTGGGGGTGCAGGGGAATGGAGTTAGGGTCCACACGCACCTGCCCAGAAGCGTCAGGCAGGCCGTAGAGGTCCTGTCCACAGGCAGCGGGCGAGGCACCAGGAGCCCCACCACCTCTGCTTCTGCACTAGGACCATTTTCTTTAAGGTTTTCTTTAAGGGGGCACATTTCTTTGGTAGGAGAAAAACCAACCAGCGAAAAAGGTAATGAGTGTGAACAAAAGATGGATCCAGGGCATCCCAGTCATGCAGATGGATGGAGGGTGAGGAGACCCCCACCCAGGGTGGGCCACCCTGGGGAGGGGGCTCCCTGCAGAGCCTCAGCCTCCTCCTCTGCACCCCAGGGGGTGAGGAGCCGCCCACCATGCAAGGTCCCATGAAGCCCAGGTCACAAAAAAATGCAAGGTCACAAAGAAGCCCAGAAATGTGGGGAGTGCCTCGCCAATGACACAGGACCCTGCAAAGGCTATGGGTGAGGGAGGCCCCCAGCCTTGCACGGGGTCCGGAGCAGCCGAGCCCCACGAGGCCTCCTTCCTCGGGAAAGCGTGGGTCAGACAATCTGGACGGTGCTTTTTCCTACTTGGAGTCAGACTCACATTCATGACCTAAAGGCCCTGATAAGGTCCTCAGGCAAAAATTAAGGGGGCTGGGGCTTGTGTGTCCAGGGCGGGGTGCGCTCTCCGGAACCAGCCCACGTCCCTGCCCATAGGAGCTCCCCGGCCTGAGCAGCACCCTCGGCCTACTGCTGAGTGCACCCTGGTGCCAGCTGTGATACAAACCAAGCCTGTGATGATCACAGGCACCTCTGACGCTGCCCAGAAGCTTCCAGAATCCTGCCCTCGGTGACCGCTCTCTCGCCCCACCTGCCCCTTGATGTTGACAAAGATGCAGGTCCACACGGCTCTGTCTGGATGTCCCTCTGTGAAGCTGGCCCTAGGCTCACCCGCCTCCCACTCCTGCCTCACCTGAGGCCCAGCCACGTCCATCCAGCTGCCCACCAGGGGCCTAGGCTCAGGGAATTCCTCAGAACTGGACCACCTGGTATCTCAGTCAGCCCAGGACCCAGGACGACCACCCTTGACTTTTCCAAAGCTGCCGTTCAGAAGGCCTCTGGCAAGCAGAGGGTCGGTCATTAAAACCCCCTGGACACAAACCAGACAAAGCCACAAACCAATGCCTTGCTCGTAGGACACAGGGGAATTCTACAGAGACAGCTGGACCACCCATCTCTTTCCAACCTAAGACAGGATCGGGGAGCAGTAGTGCAGACACAGGCCCATTCGCACAGCATCGACCTGGATGCCTGCACCCTCAGAACCAGAGCACCCTCCTCCGGGAGGGCACCAAGAGGGCCCCACGGCCACCACTGCTGGCACAGGAGCACACAGCACAGGAGCTAACCCACCCCACAACACCCTAGCAGTGTAGCCCAGGGACACGGCGACCAGCCCACCCACCCAGCCTCCTCCCAGGGATACACAGCCTGGCTTCCCTTCCCTGAGCACCCACCCTGCTCCGGGTGAGGCCAGGCCTGGAGGCCTTCACGTCGCAGGCCCTCGGAGATGTTTCCTGGCTCTGACCGTGCCGAGAACAGAACGCTGGAGGCCAGACCACACTCAGAGGGGAGAAGCGAGGCAGCTCCGGGGCCTGGGAGGAATGCGCTCTGTGTGGCCGCAGGACGGGGAGCAAGTGCTGCCCTAACACCTCCCGCTGCACGTCCGACAGGGAATGAAGCACTTTAGTGCTCAAGGTTCTAGGGGGTTAAATTACAGCACACTATTGACTTCATGACTTTTTCTTTATACGTTATAACCAATAGTAAGACAATGTTCAATGTTTTGATGAAGTGTTTTGGAGATGACTTTGCACAGCCCCACTTGCCCAGCCGTCGTCACGTTTAACACCAGGAAGCAGAGCGTGGACGGGTTCCACGACTGCGTCTCCCACCTGGATTCTTTATTTAGGTCCCACAGGCGTGTCCCCAGTGGAGCCTCAAAGTCACCCTGGGAGGGATCTTCAATGTCCCCAATTTACAGATGAAGAAACGGAGGCCCACGGGAGTCAGCAGCAAGCTCCAGGTCACACAAGAAATTCAAAGGCCCATTCGCCCATGAAGCCACACGGCTCCAGCGTCCAGGCTCTGAGACCCACCCGCTGCCCACTGGGCAGCAGCGCCGGGCACCCTGTCTGGGCACGTGGATTTTCCAGCCACGGACTTTCCCCACTGACAGCTCTCACCGTTTCCTGGGTTTATCTTCCGTGAGGGCCACACCTTGTGGCTGGGCCCTCAGCTCCCTGCATGATCAACCCAGACTCATCCAAAACCACCCAACAGGACAGGTCCCCACGCCTCCGAGACCTCCCTGGGTGTCCCCGAAACACAGGCCACCGAACAGCCAGAGAAGCTGCTTGCTGATTCAGTGTTTAGACTCTGGATAGAATTCTCGGTTCTTCCAGATGTGATTCAGCCTGCTGCATTATTTAGCTAACTTTCTGCGTCAAAACCATAACTTCTTAGAAATTTTTCAAGGTACTCAAAACTGATTTCATAGTCGATCTGGGGAGTCATCGCAAGAATCAGTCGGAAAGGAGGCTCCGTGAGGAGGGAAACTGAGGCTCAGCAGCCTGTGACGAGCCCTGAGGCGCACCCACAACACACTCTAGGATCACAGGGCCTGCTCCAAGCCGGCGGAGTGGTTCTCTTTGCTCTGCTGATCATTGAAAGCTCAGAAACATCAAAAGTTAATTAAAATAAGAATATGTTATTCTGAAATAATGCATTCTATTTCAAAACGTCCAGGGAGTGTAGCGGAGCCCGACCATGTGAGCGTGCTCCACCTCGTTCCCCTCGGCGTCTCCCGAGCACGGCTCTTCGGGCAGACGGGGCCCCCAGCAGTCCCACAGTTGTCATTCTCTGAGCGTGGAGAACCCCCGTTTCTATCAGCCCGTAATCCCATCCATTGATTTGAATTGTTCAATGACAGGCCTGAAAAGGCGGATCAAGTGTCCTTTGGTCCCGGCAAAGAATGAATCATTTAGCACCAGCCCAGGCCACGGGCCGGAGAAAGCCTGCTTCGTCTGCAGTCTGGCCTTGCCTGGAACGCCGGTGGCCGCCAGCGCCCCTGACTGGGCAGTCGCACCACGGTGATTCAAATCAGCTCTCGGTAGCTCTCAGAATGAGCAATCGATTCCTTCTACGGGGTTTCAAGACAAAGAGGAGAGCTGATTAAATCAAGTTAAGTCTCTGCCGTTAAGCCAAGCTGCCATGGGGACGGGTCCGGAGAGGGGCGGGGCCGCCATGGGGACAGGTCCGGAGAGGGGCGGGGCTGCCATGGGGACGGGTCCGGAGAGGGGCGGGGCCGCCATGGGGACGGGTCCGGAGAGGGGCGGGGCCGCCATGGGGACAGGTAGGGAGAGGGGCGGGGCCGCCATGGGGACGGGTCCGGAGAGGGGCGGGGCTGCCATGGGGACAGGTCCGGAGAGGGGCGGGGCCGCCATGGGGACAGGTCAACCTGGTCCGCTGGCCCCAGCCTAGCTCCGGGGAGGCCGAGCTCTGGGCCCCGCTGCAGCGCCCCTCTCCTCAGATCTTGCAGAGATGCCTGGTGTCCTGTAACAAGGACCAGAGCTGACACATATGAGCCTGGCCGTGGCTGGGACACCACGGAAAAGGCACAGGCAGCCCTCAGGGCACCGAGGCCCCCAGAGGGTACGGGTCTTGGGAGGGGGTTCCCTCAGGCCTGCGTGTCACCCTGTCCAGTCACACCCTCTAGAACACAGCATGGAGACTGCCACCGAGCCAACACAGGAGCCCTGTGGCCACAGCACGGAGGTCAAGGGCCTGCTGTGCCAACCCCTCCAGAGCCCACACCTCCCCACTGCTGAGCGCACTGGAGCCACTCACCAGCGGATGCTGCAGGCCAGGCCAGGACACTCGGGTCACACGTGTGTTTAAGAAGAGAGTTGCTCCCACAGCCACAGGCTCCAGGCTGCCAGGGTTGAGTGGCAGTGTCGGGAGCCTGGCAGAGGATGTGGGCCAGCCAAGGCCTCCAGTTCTGCCAACTCTGGCCAGCAGGTGAGGAGCCCCTGCCATGCAGAGCTGGGAGAGCGAAGGCACCCACCATCGACTTGGCAGGACCCGGAGCGGTCCCAGCACACACAAGGCACCAGAGCAGCATCACAAGCTCCTCCAGTCCCGCCCCGGATGAGGACATCTCAAGGTTGGCTGACAGCCAAGGCCAGGCTGCAAGCTGCAGGAGGAGCCAAAGGCACCCAGGCCCACCCCCAGCCTCCACAAGCCAGCACCTCCCTGCCCAGCCCGTACCTTGGTCAGAGGAAGATGCATCTTGGATTCGTCAATCAATCAGCATTGGCGGTTGCACCTGACCATGGGCCTGCAAGACGCCTGCCCACAGAAGCCCCCATCCGCCGCTGCTGATCCAGGACAGACCCCACACCCTCCTGTTTCTCGGCCCTGTGCTCGGGAGTAGGACAGTGCAGACATGTGTGGGAGCTGCAGCTGGGGCCTGCCCACAGACGCCCCAGGGACAAGGGCACCATCGTCGTGTCTGCTCTAGTGTGCACAGGAAATCCCACCTGAAATGCAAACAACCCCCTTTCAGAAGAGTTCGTCCACCCTGGAGACGACCGTCCAGACTCCTCCATCGTGGCCAGAGGCTCCAGTAGGGACCTCCTGGGGCCCCCAGAGGGGCCTGGCCCCATGGTTGGCAAGCAGAAAAGGCACACCCCTCCCTGTCCCTGTGTGACGCTCCTAAACACAGGAATGGCTGGGCGACAGTCAAAGCCGATGGAGCCTCTCTCCTCTCCTCTCCTCCTCTGCTGAGTGAGACTGGAAGACCTTATTACCCTAATTTTGAAAACGTATTTTGCTCCGTGTCTGATCCATCCACACAGGGTCCCCAGGCACTCCTGCAACTACACTACAGCGAGAAGCCCCGTCACAGGCCCAGGAATCCAATCAGGTAAAATAATCAGCGTAGATGTTGCAGGGAGGACACGCTCTTCCCTCCTGGGCTCACCCTGACCCAGGCAATGGCGCACACCTGGAATGTGAGCCTCAAATCCAGTTTCTTGAAATGATCTTGTGCGCTGGGGTAGGGAGGCGATCAGACCGGACAGTGCCATCTGAGCCGTGAGGATGGTGGCGGCGTTTTAAACACATACATAAGGATGGTCACATTTTAAGGTCATACTTGCTCAAGGCCAGCACCTTGTTTTCAGTCCATTGGTGCGATTGTGTTACCTGGTAGGGGTCCACCTGCCACCTGGAAACCTCCCCTAGGTGAGTAGGATCCAGCTTTCCTGGGCCCAGCTGAGACTCAGCCCAGGTGCATAGACTCAAGGGCCCCAGGAGGGGTTGGGCCCCCCACCGCTGTCTGTGGGTCCAGGGGGGCTCCAGGGCCAGCCATCAGCCCCGACCACAGGACAGCCGATGACACAGGTCTGAGGTCTGGTCTTGAGAGTCGCCCAGCACCTTCCCCCCAGATAGGCCCCTGGACAGCACAGGTGACCCTGTGTGTGGGGGGGTCACCTGCATGAGAGGAAGGGACAGGAGGGAAGGGCCCAAGGAGTAAACAGGACCCCGTTTTTAGGGGAGGCTGATGGTTTCAGTAGATCTGCCCAGTAGTGTGACCACCCGGGTGTGGCGTTCTAAGACTCGCTGCCCTCCAGCCTCCTGTAAGGCCAGCCCAGCTGGATCTCAGGGCCCCTTGTCTGGTGTCTGGAACCTGAGCTCCCAGGGAAGCCGGGGCTGTGCATCTAGTGGCTCCAAGTTACCTCCCAGTGCCCACAGTACATGAGGATGTGCTGCCTGCTCCCGGCCGAGCGTGAGTGACTGACGTTGGGCATTTACAGAAAGTGCTGGCAGGTGGCCGTCCCCCGAGCCCGGGCCCCGCATTTACACCCTGATCCCCCAAGCCCAGGCCCCACGTTTACACCGTGATCCTGAGCCCGGGCCCCACGTTTACGCTGTGATCCTGAGCCCGGAATCTGCATTTACACCGTCATCCCCCGAGCCCAGGCCCCGCGTTTATGCCGTGTCGGGGCTGAACCGAGGGGTCCCCTCTGCCACCTCCTCCATCACCCCCAGCACAGGCTCCTCATCTTTCTGTCTCCATCAGTCCCCATGCACCCATGACCAGCGACTCCCAGGTCCCAGGACATCAGGAGAGGAAACTGAGGCACAGAGAGCTTGAGCACCCTGCCCAAGTATCTGAGCTGCTGGGCCTCTGATCCTCATCAAAGCATCACCAATGCTTACCCAGCAGGGAGACTGGAGCAGCTGCACCCACCCCCCGGCTGTGGTCTGACCGCAGTTGGCCGCGCCCCTCCCACAGGGACAGCGTCCTCGGGAGAGGTCAGCAAACCCCGTGGCCGGGCCTGGACAGAGACCTCTGGGTCCTGCCTCCCACAGGCAATGATCCCTCCTGCCTGCAGATCCAGACCTCCCTGAGAGGCCCCCCAAGTCTCCTAAAAGCTCAAGCCACGAAGGGCAGGCCCTCCCTGGTGCCAAAGAGCCTGAGTGGACGCCAGCTGAGGAGCAGACCACCATCTCTCAGGGCCTCGTTTTTCCCACCTGAGGGGCTCATAGCGGCCCCGCCCCAGGTGCCAGGTTCTGGAGCTCCGCAGGAAGAAGACAGTACCCCCTGGACACACAGTCTTACCCAGGTGTGAGTTCCTGCCCCCGGCGGCACTGGGCACCCACATGCTCCCCCAGGGGCTCGCCCAGCCCAATGTCAACGCCCCCTTGTTCTCAGGCTCATCTCTGATTTCCTGCTGCTGGAATTCTAAATCAAATCCTTGCACAGCTGAAATGGGGAGGCAGGCAGCCACATTTGGTTGGGGATCAAAGCAAAACCAGGCCCATTTCCCTTCCAGGCTGTTCACACAGCTCGGGCTGGTGTGGAAGCTCCCAGCTGGGCAGCCGGGGTGAGCAGGGGTCCCTGTGACCCAGCCAAAGGCATGGGCAGCCCTGCCAGTCACTCACGTGGCTGCTGTCCCAGGCCATCTCTCCTTCCAAGCTGCTTCTGTGCTGTGCAGGGCATCCAGCAGGGCCAGGGTCCCAGCCGGGCCGTCGGCTTCTCCCACTGCATCTGTAGCTCTGGGTGATTTGCTCTGGAACTGGGTTTGACCAGCAATGCTGCCACTCATTTGATTTACAGGAACCCGGGTCCTGTTTCCACCTGCTGCAGCCCACACACCTGTCCCCACCCCATCCTAAGGCCCAGAGCTTCCAGAAGGTTCCAGAAACAGCCTAGCCTGGTGGGATGCCCCACAGCCTTCATGCTTACTTCCCTCCACCCACGGAACTCCCACAGAGGCCACCAGACCTGGCTCCTGGGCACCCACCGGGTCCCCGACAAGCCCCGCCCTCCAGGGCCAAAGTGCGTACCCTGCTCACCCTGACCCCCAGCATTGACCGCTGTGCCCACCCAGCTCAGCTGGATGCCTGGACAAGCATACAGACTGTGGGTCTGGAGATCAGGGTGGGTTGGTGGGTGCAGGGACAGAGGGTGGTGACCGCCATGGGGGCCAGGGGGGCTGTGTGGGCGAAGAGTGACCCAGGCATTCTGTGGGGTTTGAGGCTTTTCTGACTCTGCCCACCCCGGTCAACCTCGGCCACCTGAGGCTCTGGTCATCAAGGAGACCTCTTCACGGGCAGTCCCTGCACCCACAGCCCAGCCCTGAGCTCACAGCCTTCCTGCCCTTCTGCCGATGGATAGTAGATGGTGGATGGGTGGATAGAATGACAGGTGGATAGGTGGATAGGTGGATAGTGGATGGTGGATGTATAGATGGAATGATGGGTGAATGGTGGATGGTGGATGGGTAGAAGGAATGATGGGTGGATGGTGGATGGGTGGATGGAATGATGGGTGGATGGGTGGATAGTGGATGGTGGTTGGGGGATGAAATGACAGGTGGATAGTGGATGGTCCATGGGCAATGAGGGATGGAGGACAGTTGGGGGATATGGTGCTATCAGGGCTAGTAGACGACGAAGTGACATAGTGCTTATAAACCCAGACAGCAGCATGTGGCAGAGGAGCTGCCCAAGGGCAGCTGGTCTCTGATATTGCTGTCAAATCCCTCCATTAACCTAGAAGATCAAGGAACTTCTAGAGCAGAGAAACACCTAGGCTTGATGCCTAGAACCTCTCCTCCCAAAAGAAAAGGGGGAGTGACAATGCTTTAAAAACGTGCTAGGGGAGAGAGAGGGCAGCCCAATATTCTCCTGGCTATTTTTTAAACCTGCAGTGCCACCCGCTGTGGACAGCCCCACCAGGGCCCCCTGGAAAGAGCAGATGGCCCCCATCTGCAGAGCCATGAATCAGGCCCTGGTCATGGAGGCGGGGTCCACAAACAAAAATAAACCAGCGGTCCACAGGAAGTAACCAGTGGTGCCAAGATGTCATGGTGAGGGACGCTGGAAGGGACAAGGCGGTAATGAACCCTGCACAGCCCTGCTCCACACCTGCTCAAGTGTCGGGTAGGAATACATTACGAATATTTATTATCACATGGATGAAGCAAGCACAGACCACACTTTCTCAACCTAATGCGTGAAATAAATATGTGTTTGGAATAACAGCATTTCTGAGACAATCCATTCGGTCTGGGGTGGAAGGAACACGAGAGCCTCGCCCCCAGGACCACGATGGCAGGAGAAGAGTTAGTGACATGGGACTGATGGCCAGGTCCATTGAGCTCATTGGAGCTGCCCAAGCTGATGGGAAGTACAGGGATCCCACGCCAGCCCAGCACAGCACTGAACTCACAAGTGCCCACTGCTCCATGCCAGGCCAGCATGGCACGGAACCCACAAGTGCCCACTGCCCCATGCCAGCCCAGCATGGCATGGAATCCACAAGTGCCCACCGCCCCACACCAGGCCAGCATGGCACAGAACCCACAAGTGCCCACCGTGGCCTGGGGAAGCCATTGCTCTTGTCCTAGGCCCCATGTCAAAGCCACACCCAGAGGCTCCTGTCCCGGATGAGGGTTGAATCCAGCTCCAAGAACTCTTAACCCCCTGCCCTTCCCCACCCCTACATGCCCCAGGTCCTGTACCTGGGTACGGTGGTTGCACTGTGTGTGTGAGGCCAGTTTCTAGCTGTCCTGTCCCCTCCAGGTGGTGCTCGGGGGATGGTATCACCATCCCGTATGCACAGATGAGGCCAGCCCCACACCCTCACACTCTAGCCACGTGGTCCTAGGAGGTAAGTCCAGCAGCATCTGCCCGCCAGGTGTGTGCTCATATCCAACATGGAACTAAGAACTCAGATCACCTTCCAAATGCAGCAGAGAGGACTGAATCGAGGGCACTTCAAGGAATTACCAAATAAAAGAAAGAAAGAAGGAGGGAAAGAAGGGGGGGGGAGAGAGAGAGAGAGAGAAAGACTGTAAGTTCTGCATCTTGACCTTCCATTGCCAACTGGCTCTACAAGCTGAGTCACCCCTGAATTCAGAGAATGAGCCCCGGGGCAGGGAGACGAGAGCCTCACCCCTGTGACACCAGGCCCCCCCAACCAAGTGTGGCAGGGGCAGGGCAGCCAGTCCCCCATGAAGGGAGTTTCCAGTTGATGCAGGCCCCGCCCCCAAGTCCCCGTGAGTGGGGCAGACGGGTGCTGGACTGGACCATGCACCACCTTGGGGAGATGGCCCAGAGGGAACCGGGGCCAGGGGGCACAGGTCACATTCACAGACCCCCTCCTGTGCCATCCTCCCACCTGCATGCCCTACAGGGGGTAGTACAGGGACCCTGGTAGAAAAAGAGACAACCCAGAGAGCTGAAAGGAGGCAGAGGCAGGATTCAAACCCAGATCTCTCATTGTAGGAATTAGAGGTGGCGTTCAGGAGCCTTGAGATGTGAGCTGAGACCGGGAGACAGGGCATGGGAGCTGGGTTGGGAAGGGGACAAGAGGTGACAGAGCCCCACCTTGGACCCTGTTGGAGTGAGCGTGTGCAGCAACCGACCTCCACCCCTCCACTCGGAGCCACACCCCCTCTGTGTGTCCTCCCAGGCTGCGGCGTAACCAGACCCTGAAGGGGCTGCTGTGCCCCAGGGACTTGCACTAAGGACAGAGTGAGAAGTATGCATCTGAGGGTCTCTCGTGCAGGAAAACCGGGTTGTGAATCTCACCAGCTACACACACTGCAGGCCCTCTAGAAGGAAGTGACAGGAGAGGAGACAGGTCTCCTCCCTCCCCAGCACAGGGGGGTCCCACCCCGGAGGCAGAGCTGAGACAGCTGTGGACGCCAACACCTTGGGAGGGCCACCTGCTGTGTGCGGGTCCCAGCCTCTCAACTCAGGTGGAGCCAGGCACCCAGGTCTGGTGCGAGACTCTGTGCAAATGGAGTGTGAGTGAGATATTTGGGAATATCCGTCACTGTCCTTCCCAGCACCCTGACCCTCACCATGGGCGGGAAGTTTTGGAGGCAGAGCCTTCTTCCTCCTCCTCTAAAGCCAAAAGGAGCTGTGAGTCCTTCCCCCACCTCCTTGGAATCTCAGGATCTGGCCAATTAGAGATCCTCCCCGGGACCCTCGTCCTTCACAAAAAGCTTCCAGGAACCTCAGTGACCAGCAGGTGACGTGGACACACACACTCATAGTGACAATCACACGCACAAATACACAGTCACACACAAATGCACTCGTACACACAGACATGCACACAAATACACACACACTCATATTCACACACACCTACGACAGAATCTGATTTTACCATCAACCAATTATAGTTCTCATATATTTGTGGCTTTTCTTTACTTAAAATTCTTCTGGTGTTTGTCTGCATCCACTCGGCCATATTCCTGCAGGGATAATGCACTGATGGTCTCTCAAGATCTTCCCAGCTCACCCGCTCTGGGTGCGTTTTCCTCTCAGTGACAGCCCCTCCACGCTCCAGCACTGCCCCCAACACCAGAAAAAGGCTGTTTATTCCCCATCCTGAACATTTTTGACAATGTGATGGCCAAATAAACCCCATTTCCATCCATTTCCTTGAGTAACGGTGTACGTGAGCATCTTTTTTACGTTTCTGCCATGTGCCTTCCTTGTGAGTTCTCTAAGATTCCTCGGATTTCTGTCGGGTTACTGTTCTTGGCATCACTGTGATTATTTTGTAAACTAGAATGAAAACTCCCTAAACCTGGAGGTTAACCTCCAGCTATTTATTTCATGAATACTCCCCCCCACTGTTTCTTTTCTTTTTTGTTATGATGCAGTTTTTCATACGGACTTTTTTATTTCCTTATTTCAATGTTGAATATCTGGGTTTCTTTTTATTTCGGGGTTCCAGGCTCAGGCTGACAATATACAGATCTTCTCTTCTTTCTTTTAATACTGTTAAAGATTTGTGTCGTGGTTGCCTCTTTTGTACATTTTTTTTTTTTTCAGAATGCTGTGGTCTAAGAGCCGTAACTTTAATTTTTAACCACAGACCCGATGGACCCAAACTATTTATCAAACAGTCCAGTCTGTCTCCTCATTCAAAGTCTCTTATTGATTATATACCAAATTCCCATCTATTCATCTCAGACATTTCCAATCCAGGCATATTGACCGAGAAAACGTCACGGCGTGTGTTTCTTCAATGACAGAAGGAAACAGCGACCGAAGGTCTCCTCCGAAGGACGGTGACGCAGGTGGAGTTGGAGGAAGTTGGCTGTGGGGGCCGCCCGGGACCCCACGGGTCACAGAGACCGGCTCAGCCGGAGCCCCCACTGAGCGCCTTGGAGCAACTCCCAGGGTCCCTGGTGACTCTTCCCATCCCTTCCAGCGGGAGTCATGACCTGGCCCCGGCCTTGGTGGCCCCTCAGGTGCCCAGGGCCCACTTCTGGGTCAGTGGGCACCTGAGAACAGTGATGGCTTAGCAGGTCATGCCCATGCCCCCGAAACGACCAGACGGATGACCTCCCAGGACCAAATCCCTACCCGGCCCCTCACCAGGCTCCCACACAGACAGAGCATCTCTCCACTGACCCTGCTGAGCCTCATCCTGCCTCCTCGTCCTCAGGGACAGGAACAATGGCGTCCTGCACATCCAGGGTCATTAACTAGATCTGCCAGGCCAAGCACAGTGGCTCAAGCCTGTAATCCCAGCACTTTGGGAGACTGAGGTGGGCAGATCACCTGAGGTCAGGAGTTTGAGACCAGCCTGGCCAACATGGTGAATCCCATCTCTACTAAAAATACAAAAATTAGCTGGACATGGTGGCGCGCACCTATAATCCCAACTACTCAGGAAGCTGAGACAGGAGATTCACTTGCACCTGGGAGGCAGAGGTTGCAGTGAGCTGAGACCTTGCCATTGCACTCCAGCCTGGGCGACAGAGTGGGACTCCATCTCAAAAAAAAAAAAGATTGGACATTTGCTTGGGGAATGATAAACAGCCTTCCTCAAATGCCCTGAGGTGGTGACTGGCACATCACTCAGTCCTCACCAGGCCCAGACACCTGGACAGTAACACCCCTGGCATGACTCGAATGCTCTGCTAAGCTTCGTGTGGATCAGGGGCTCAGAACGTGCCCATGTGTGGCTCAGGACACGTCCACACCGCAGCTAACGAGTGGTGGAGAAATGAGAGACCTGACCACCGTGGGGCTGGCTTCTCTCCAGAGCACCAAGGGAAGAGTTTGGAATGTTTCTTCCATGAACTGAATAAAGAGAAAACAGACTTGTCCTTCACTCCTGCAAAACATCTAAGACAAGACTCTGGGTAGTTCCCTCGTGAGATACAGAGACAAGCAAACAGCAGATGCCCATGAGGGTCTCGGTTCTG